CCCCAAAACCCCAAAACCCCAAAACCCCAAAACCCCAGTACTTAAATCTTTAATTGAGAATTATCAAGAAGAAATAAAATGTCCAAGAAGAACGGAAAAGCTAACAAAAGTTTGTCATCAATGTAAGCAATGCTTGAGTTTGTATTGTTTGGGTTGTGTCGAGGTTCAGTCATTATTGGTGACTGGCCTCTCTGGTAAAGAGACGTCATTTACCTTGGGTTAGTAAACTAGAAAGATGAAATTAGCCCAGAGAGGCCGACCCAAAGCAGGCTTCTAAATATATCAGTTGAGTTCTACAGCAGGGATTAGATTCTATAAACAATTTCACTAGGCTATTTTGGGTATCCAAGAGGCTTTAAAATTTATGCCAACCAGGTCGTTTCCTCATCTCGCATATTTTGGTTTCAAAATTAAATTTTCCGAATTCTGTACTAAACTTGTTCTAGATCCAAAGAAGAACTAAAGGGTATCGGTTACTGTCCAAACATATTTAGATTCCTCCTTCAGCATAGAAGAGAATGATGCTGTCACTCCACTGAATGGGAGCATGACTAAGAAGAACGGGGGCTCCAAAGTATCGCTAGGTATGATGATCCTACCTGGTTTTTATTGCTAAACAACTTTCCTTTAACACGGCTTCATCAGGTCTTATAGAGAGGAAATTAACTCCAAAGATGGAACAGAAGTTGAGAAGCCAGACTAAGTTTAACAGGAGACAATCCATTGAAGAGAGAGCTCATGGCGACATAAAATACAAGTCAGAGTAAGTTTCCCAGACCTTATTATGCAGGAAGAAGAAGAGCAAGGTTCTCAATGCCCTCGCCGAGACCACTTCGATTAAGATGGAGAAAAGGTTTATGTATGAGTTCGAGCAACTCTGTGAGATTGACTGCCAAGATGAGAATGTTACTAATAAGGATAGGTTTAAGTACTTGTTCACCTCCAAAGGATTCAAACTTGACGATCCTAGAATTAAGGATATCATTGATGTCGTTGATGAACTTGAAGAAGACCAAGATATTGACTTTGATATATTCAAGGAGTTGATCAGACCTATCTCTACCTTCTTTAGAGATATCCTTCAGAACAACCTCTCTTTAAAGGATATTGAAAGCTTCTCTACATCTACTAGAGAGATCTTTGAGAAGCATAACTTAGAAGCTCCTAAAGGAAGCATGGCCAAGTATCTTTCAGAGACATCAAATGCAAACCAGGATGATTTTGCAGCTAGCATTTGTACTGTTGATGGCCAAAGGATAGAATTAGGATCCTCTGACTCCCTAGTATCCCTTCAGCAGATTTCAAGTGTTGTCAGTTACTTGATAGCTCTGGAGCAGCATGGACAGGAATCATTATCTAAGTATATCGGGACTGAGCCAAGCGGGAAATCTTTTGATAACCTTGAACTGAAGGAAGGGATCCCTCATAACCCTTTGATCTCATCTGGAAACCTGCTCTGCTGCTCGTTGATCAACCAAAAAGAGACTATTGACAGAAAGTATGAGAAATACGCTAAGGTTGTGGAGAAGATGATTGGTGCCAAGGTCTCTTTCAATAATTCTGTCTACCTTAATCAGAAGGAAAGAGCTCATAGGAACTTCTGCCTCCTTTACATGCTTGAAGAAGCAGGCACTTTGCCAGAGGGCGCAGATGTCAAGGAAATAATGAATTTCTTCACCCAAACTACTTCTATCGAAATGAAAGTTAGCGACTATTCAGTCATGGCTGCCACTTTAGCCAATGGAGGTATCTGCCCATTGACTGATGAAAATGTCTTCAGTGATTCTGAAGCAATTAAAGGAACTCTATCACAGATGTTGTGTTGTGGAATGAACACTTTCTCTGGAAAATGGGCCTTTGATGTAGGACTTCCAGCAAAGTCCTCAACTACAGGAATGACCATCCTGGTCATTCCTAACAAGATGGGGATTGCTGTCTGGTCGCCAAGGCTCAATAAAGACAGTAACAGTGTCAGAGGCCAGAAATTTCTGTGCGAACTGATTGATACCTTCGGGTTCAATGACATCGACCATGTGTATGGAGCCGGGCTCATGAAGAAGATGTTGGTAAACTTGTCATTCAAAGGTACCCATAATAATGACTCTATAAACTTACTGTACTATGCTAAACAAAACAAGCTTAGAGAGATGAGAAAAGCAGTTGCTCAAGGCTGAAATGTGATGTATGGCGACTATGACTCCAGAACTGCTCTCCACATAGCATGTAATTATGGCCACTTTGAGATCGTCAAGTATCTTGTCTCTCATGGAGCCAGGATCAACATCAAAGACAGATTTGACAACAGTCCTTTGGATGAAGCAAGAGCAGCTGAATATGGTGAAATAGTGGAATATTTGGAAGAATGCCTCTCAAGATCTTAGATTACATTCCTTAATTTGCCTTGTATAAGTTTGAAAATCCAGAACTTGTTGTATTGGGTATCTTTCTATGCTCTAAATAGTCCTTTATGATCATCAGCTGAGCCTACCACCAGAATTATCTAGCTGGGCAAATCTTCAAGCTGGATTTCAATTCTTGGTCAATGCAGTGGGGTTTTGGGGTTTTGGGGTTTTGGGGTTTTGGGGTTTTGGGG